TCACGTAATTTCGAAAGGTGACGATAATTTGTAGGTTTTCTTGGAAATCTTATCACCTATGATTAACACATTGACAGATCAATCATTATTACGACGATGTTTACGAGGTGCGACTCAAAATGCAAACGAATCCATTAATTCTGTCATTTGGTCCATTTTACCAAAAGCAAAATATCATGGATATCGATCAATTCGAGGTGCTGCAGCAATTGCAGCAATTTTCTTCAATCGTGGACGATCGGGTCTGATCAAATTCTTTGATCAGGTGGGTATATCTATTACTGAAGAGTTGTTGAATGCTCTTCTAGGAAAAGATAGTAAACGAGTTGCAAAAGCTGAAGATAATACTCAACGACAAGAAATCATTAAAAAATATAAGAAACAACAACGACTTCAATCACAAGTGGCTGAAGAAGAAGAGATGGACTATCGAGCCGGAATGTTCTAATTGACTCTATATTTGTCTATTGCAACATAAAAGGTTATATTTTTTCTCATAAAAAGCAAAAAGAAAAGACGATATTTTTTTCTTGAAGTTGTTATCCTTGATACTCAATATGCTGCTCCTATTTTATACGAAACTGAGAAAAATCGAGTAACTAAGCGACACCATCTTTTCTCATAAATGCACTAACACAAGGGCAGGAAATAAGATTCATGAATATCTGAATACAATTAGGTGAAAATTTCTTAAGATTCCTTTACTTTTATTGAGCCTTTTAAAGTTATATGCTTTTTATAGAGCATATCTGATTTTCACATTGATCAAAAATAGACTTTTATTATTTCTAAGAAGCAAATGGAAAAAAGTGATATATAGAAAAGTTGTAGCGCTTGAAATTCTCTATCGAATGGCCTATATGAAAAAAAATTTTAAATGTATTATAGTCCTCAAAACACGACTGAAAGTAGTTGGATCATGAAAAAAACGTAAAATTTCAGCAGTATTTGACTATAAACTATTATAAAAAATTTTTGTTATGATTTTGATTTTATATGAAATCGATAGAGAAAAAAATTCTGCATCTTTTGATATAAAAATAGTTATATTTTTGTTATATTTTATATTCACATTTTGGGAAACACGAAGGGAGGGTGTGGTCCAAATTTTGACTAAAACTTAGACCTTGTCACAACTTTTTAACCAAGTAAGTCGCTGACAAGTAGGGCTGAACATGAAATGCATGATTATTTTTATATCAATCTATTAATTAGTTCTTATTATTGTGCAAGTCTATCATTTTCTCCAAAAATTTCTTTTTTGTTAAATAATTTTCTTCAGAACAGTTCTCATTACTTCAGTCGTTTTTATTTACACAGGTAATGAAGAAAATAATTGTTTGTCTTTCTTTTCATACAAGTTTGACGTCATTTGAGAGTTGAAAGAAACTTATGTTTATTCGGTTACTTTCTTTTATAGAATATTTTTTACATAGATTGAAAAAGATAGATTTTGAGGTTAACTTTGTCGATCAATGAGTCTAATAAAATCTGAGTACAATATAGATAGGTAACGTTCTTTTCTTCAGTACCAGAAATTCCAGTAATTGTTGTATATAAAGGTATAAAACAGCACTTCAGTCTGAAACTGTTTCATCTGATTCATGAATAAAAGAGCAAGTGTGCTCTATTCAAATAAAAAACTATTTTTTCTCTTTTTTATTCAAATAATACTACAGTAGTATTTTTTTATTGCAAAGAAGCTTTTGGTTGATAATTACTGTTCGATAATATAGAGAACTTTTTGTTTAACTTTGGTTATTAATATGAAAATGAATTAAAAGTTGGGAAAAAGTACTTTTGATCACCAAAAAAAGATACTTTTGATCACCACAACTCTTTAGATACTTTTGATCACCAAAAAAAGATACATTTGATCACCAAAAAATTTAGATACTTTTGATCAC